GCATTCCTGTCTCCCAGGCATCGAGAGGCCTGGGCTTGATTGGAAAGGGCTTCCCTTTTCCTCCTTCTGCAGGGGGAGCGCCCCGCCTTGGGTCTACCTGTCCTTGAGGTCACATGTTGGGGCAGAGCCTCAGGACCCAGGGCAGATGGAATGAGACTTCTTGGATCTTTGGGCTGCTGGTGGTTGATGACCTTCATTTTATGGGACCTTCCTCTCAAACCCTGCCACTAGCATCTACCCACCAGAGGGCCAGGATGCAGTGTGTCGGGAGGGTAGCAGGAATACTCAGGGTGCATGGGACTAAATGTTTCTTTGTATTTGCAATACCAAAAATCAGGACGCTCTTAATTCAGTCTAACAGCAGGGTGGGGTATCTGAAATGGGAACCATGCCAGAAACTCAGAGGCTTACGGGGAACACATCTAGGGAATGTCCCCCCAGCCACGGACCCTCCAGCTATACCACTGATGCCTCTTTCCAGCCAGGCTCTCTGTTGCCACTCTATCCATGGCCACCAGGGGGCGCCCGTCACTGCCTTGGGTGCAACGCTAACACCTACAGAAGAAAACCCAACTCCTCACCTGTCACGTTACTATTATCTGACCCCTGCCCACCTCTTCAGCCCACTGTATTGTTTAAGAAAATACAGTTGTGCTATAAAAAATAAGAGAAACAAAAAAGGAGGACAGACGAAGGAGCAAACAGCTTGTGAGCCATGGCAGGCATATATATACACTAAGTAAAGCATTCATGTGCCAAATGTAAATAGGAGGGGTGGAAGGACCAAGCATGCACTAAATATTGACAAGGCACCAAATATTCAAGCTACACTTAATGTTCATGAGGCATAGCGTACACTCAATATTCATGTCTTAAGTCAGCCACCCACTGGGGACATCCATTCTGACCCTCTACCCTCTGTCCCAGAACTATAGATAAACCTGTAGCTCTCCTTCAGTCTAACTGGTGAGCTGCCACTGTGGCCAGACATACTTGCCCCGACTTCTCAGACAGAGCAAGCGTGTGGCCTTGGATCCACTGATCAAGCTTCAACTCTGGTCCTTGTAGCTGCTCCATCAGCAAGGAAGGTAGATGGGGCAGGGAGAGAGGCTTGACAATGGCCATGGTGTAACTAGCTCATGCAACTACGTGTAACAGGCACTAACCTACTATCCCTTCTCTTTCCCCTGGTTTCTCACTAAGTGTTTAAAATTGATTCACTAGACTCTGTGGTTAAGCATCTTAATTGGGTCTGCGAGCCTTTCTGTTCCAAGACCTCTGGGATAGTTTATCTGGTAGTGAACTTGGAGGCCACAATTGCATTAAGGTTATTTCCCATAGGACATACCACTCTCCCAACCCTGCAGCCCCATGGAACGTTTTATCATTCCCCAAACACACCATGTGCTTCGCTGCCTCTGCGTCTTTGCACATGCTGTTCCCTCTTCCCAGGATGCCCTTCCCCTGCCACCATTTAGCAAACCCTAACTTATCCTTTGAGGTCAGTTCTGATGTCCTCTTCTTGGGAAAGTCTTCCCCAGCTGTGCCAGGTGAACGAGTCACTCATTCTCTGAACCCTCGTTCGTAGCATCATACAAATTTTATTCTGTAGCACCCGCTAGGGTTTTACGATTTCTATGTGTCTCTTTCTCTCACTGAATGGTGAACTCCCTGAGGACGGAGGCCACGTCTGTTCATCTCTGCTCCCTTGGCGCCCTCGCAGGGGCACGCTGCCCATGGGCTACTCCTGCCAAGGAGGCCACGCTTAAGTCTGGGAGCCGACAGGTCCTTGGAGTTGTCACTTTGATCTGGATATTCCATTCCCTTTATCACCATCATAGTTTAAAATGCTGTTATTTTTTCTTTCACAGGTGAGTTTATTTTGGTTTCATCTGCTCACTTTTACTGCCTCAATACGCACTCTTTGCAGAAGATAAGTAGGTACCCACTATACATTTAACCATCATTCTACATGTGGTTTTTTAAATTCATCGTTGAAACAAATCCAGGAGGTAGGCAGGTGGGTGTTATCATCTCCCAATAACAGGTGAGAGACCCAAGCTCAGACATGTTAAGTGACTTGTCCATAGTCATACACAGAGCAGAAGCTGCGGGCCAGGGCTCGTGCCTTCAAGTCCAGACCTTCCTTCTGGGCTCCAGCACCTTTGGCTGTTAAACAATGTAGCCATGGGGTGGGGTGGGGCTACTCCTCATAAACTCAGCCGGATGCTTGAAAGCTCTGGCGTACATGACACTGCCTGGGCTAGCTCCTAGCTGCTGGCGTGCTCGCTTCATCAGGCCTGCTGTCGAAATGGGGTGGGTGGGACCTTTCACACCCTCACTACATAACGGCCTGCAGTTCCCCCGAGTGCGCACTTCAAGTAGCAAAGAGGCAGTGGGTCCCCAAGGTTTGCTTTGGGCAGGACAACACGCCTGGGGTCGGTTAGCTGGGTCCTGGTGTATGCCGGGTGGGCAGAACAGCTGGGAATTCAGCGGTTCGGATGGAGGCCAGGGAACCAGCGGGCCCCCTGGGGGGCACCGTGAGGGGGTCAGGTGAGCAGATGCTGGAGAAGCAGGGCTGGTGCGGGCCAGGAGGCTGCACTGCCCGGCGGGGCTCAGAGAGCTGAGCTCAGTAGGATGCCAGCCCCCTCGCCCTTCCTCCCTGGCATTGCCCAAACAAAAGAAAAATAGTTATTAAAAAAAATAGAGTGCATGAAATGTCATTCCTGATGTTCTACTTTGAACAGCCTAATACGAAAATCCACATTTTAAAGACAAACAACTACAAAGACTAAGCCAAAGCCATCAACCAAATAGAAGTTAACTGAAAGAAAACACCTAACACACCCCAAAGATGAAACCCAGCATCTTCTGAGCCCCTTGTGGTCACTGTGTGGCCCTCGGTCTCTGGAGCTCAGCCCGGACAAGAGGGGGCTCAGGGCACTTACTTGATCATCTGCGGCACAGTGACCTTGGAATTTTCCTCAAATGCGTTCATCATGAGCCCATTGCACCGGATGTTATCCACACACTGGAATCAGAGAGAGGACCCCCGGGTCAGAGCCTCCGTCTCCGTTCCGAGACCCAGGCCCAGCAGGGGTTCTGCCGAGTGAGGCTTCGCAGGCCCCGGCCTGACACAGGGTCAAAGGGCATCGTCCAGGCAAGGGCAAGGTTAACGCACAGCATCCCTTGGGTTCTGATGGGAAGTCGTCCCCAGCTCGGTGACCTTTTGGCGATTTACTCGACTTCCCTGGGCCTTAGTTTCCCTACCTACAAAATGGGGATAATGATTCCTACCTCCTCGGGGTGTTTGCAAAAATGGAAGTGTCCGACCCTGGCCACTCTGTGGCTGACCTCTGAGGTCCAGCACCGAGGACAAGATCAGATCCACAGTGACCTGGGGCCTCTGTCCTGGGAGGCCGGCTCAGCGGGTGCCATCCTGCCCCCCGCCCCCGTTCCTCCGCTCACCACAGTGCCCACATCCTGAAGCCACAGACGGTTTTCCATAGTAAAAATCCTGCCTGGGGGAGGCAAGCCTGCCAGCACTAAGGGAGAATATTGTACATTTTACTCAGCCTCTGAAAAACATTCAAAATCCAAAAATCTTTCTTTGAATAAACAGTACACACCTAAACAAAAAGAAAAGACACAGAGATACATCTCTTTTTCCTTCTCATTGCCCCCTGCCCCAAGCTCTCACATTTCTGCCAAGAGAGGGTCTCTCCTTGGCCCGGGCTACGGGGTACTCTGCGGGGTCACATCACAGTATCTTCTGGTTTTGAGGATGTGTACGTGCGGGGAGGGGTCAAAGTCACCGGGAAGTGAGAGCAGAGAGGCAGGCACAGTGGATCAGGGCCAGGACCCCTAGTTTTTCACGGGCCCCAGAGGAAGGCTTGTGTCAGTGGCCCTTCCTAGCCCGCTTTCTCCAGCTGCACACTCTGAGACTCCTTTTAGCTCTGGTTCCATCGGCAACCCTGCAACGCAGGGCGTCTGGCCACCGATCAGAGCTGCCTGGAGGCACCAGTGGGCCTGGGGGGCCCTGACGCCTGGTGGTGTCAGCAATGCAGCCCTCAAGAGGACACAGGCCCGGGGGGTACTCTCCAGGCGAGCAGCCCTGAGCCTTTGATGGCTCCCTGAGGACTAGAAAAGGCCATGCTTGAGCTTTCCAGTTTTTCAGTTTTCTCTGGGGCACGTTGGTTGTTTTTGTTTTTGTTTTTGTTTTTTTTGCGGTACACGGGCCTCTCACTGTTGTGGACTCTCCCGTTGCGGAGCACAGGCTCCGGACGCGCAGGCTCAGTGGCCGTGGCTCACGGGCCCAGCCGCTCCGCGGCATGTGGGATCTTCCCGGACCGGGGCACGAACCCAGGTCCCCTGCATCGGCAGGCGAACTCTCAACCACTGCGCCACCAGGGAAGCCCACACGCTGGTTGTCTGAAGCTGGGAGGGCAAGACTGAGAAAGAGCAGATGTCTGCTACTAGTCGTCCTCACCCTGCCACACTGCGGGGCTGCACGCTGGGCAGGCAGGGCAGCCCAGGTGTGAGGCCTAAAAATGAGTGGCAGGGAGTGAGTTGGGCGGGGACTGCCCTGAAATACAGTAAAGGCTCTGCCCCCCAGTTGTCCATAAACACAGCTCCCAGGCCCCCTCCCCCGAAAGGGGGACATCTCCAGCCTCGCTGTCCCCTTCCTCCCACCATCAGCTGCTCTCCTAATACTCCCCTCCACTGTGCAGAGAGCAGGCGGTCCGGAGAGGTTCCTGTGCTCCTGGGACGGGGCTGGGCTGACCCATTGCAGGCCCTGGCTGGGCCCAAGGAGAAGCCTGTCCTGGGCCAGCGGCCCGGTGCTGCCGACAGCCTCTTTCCAGACTCAGACCTCTGCCCTGGTCCTGCAAGTGACCGCAGCCCTCTGGGTCTGCTCCCTGGTCCCTGGGAGGTCTGTGCTTCCTGTGACTCTCCCAGTGGGGTGACAACCCTAACGCTGGTGCAGGCAAACCTTCCCTCCTGCAGAGCGGACTCCGGGCTTTTCGGGCCCTTTGCTTTCTCTCCTGGCTCTGCTACATCCAGCACCCTTGGGTCACGGTGCTCAGACTTTTCTGTGGTACCAATGGCCTGGGGAGTGTGCCAAAACGTAGGTTCCCAGGCCTCGTGCCAGAGACTTGGATGTAGTAAATCTGCAGGGGACCAGAGGGGAGCCCAGGAATCTGGAGTTTTAAAAACTGCCCTAGGGATGATCCAGATGCAAGGGGTTCCCAGACCCCAGTCTACGGGTGGCCCAGGGGACTCTGCGAGCTGGACAGCTAGCTGGGCTCAGCCTTGGTTGGTAGAGATACTCACATCTTTTCCATTAGAACCCTGTAGCTGCCTCCCGCCGCCCACCAGCTTAAGCATGAAGGGACCACTTGTTTTCAAGGACAAGTGATGCCACTCACCTGGCTGATGTCACTGGTCCACGCCGCCTTCTCCTGTCTGGATGAGGCCACAAGGATGACTGTGAAGGGCGGGGAATCCTTTGGTTCCACCCCGATCTTAAAATCCAAGTGGTCTATGTCTTGGCCGGATCCTTTGGCTTCCAGGTGCAAAACACGGAGTTAGCCAAATGAGTGTGGGCCTTTCTGAGTTGGAAAACAACTGGCAGACGATACCTGCCTCACCCCACTGGTGAAGGCAGCAGTAGGGCACCAGGCCACTTGCTAGTTTCAGAACATCTTTTTTTTTTCTTAAGGTGAAGAATCCCCACTTCAAAGATGGAGAAACTAAGACCTAGAGTGCACAGTAGCTTACAACCACACAGGGACAGCTCCGATTCCGAGTTGGAAGAGCCTTTCGGAATCACCAGTCGGCTCTACCCTCATTAGGCCAGTGGGGAGCTGAGGTCTCCGGGGAGGACTTTCATAAGACACCCAGCTGGGCAGAGGCTAAGCAAGGGCTAGAACTGGCCTCACAGCTGGGCCCTCCAGCTACGCCAAGGTGATACAGGGGCCAGGAAGAGAATTTTAGATCTTAAGCTTTTATGGACCCAGCTGGACTTTTAGCTCAGTTGAGAGCTCCCCAAAGCCAAAGTAAGTTCTAGGTATTTTTATTACTGCTCTTAACCCGAAGGGTTCCTTGAACTCTTTCTTTGGAAAGACTAAGATCACAGTTCAGAGATTCCTTGCAACACGGCCACATTCATCAGGGGTCCCCTGAATGGGGTGGAATGTTGTGGAAGGTCTGCTACAGCTCTGGTCTCTGCTTGCTGGCCGTGTGACCCTGGGGTGATACCCTTCCCGCCCTGGGCTTCAGACATCCTCCTGTACAAGCAGAGTGGGGTGTGACGGCTCTGAGGGCCCCGACCCTTCCAGTGCTGGCACTTGAGGATGTGAGGGCACTGGAGAGCCCGCTCCGTGTGGTGACTCGAGGATGGGATGATGCTGGCTCCTCATAAGTGGGGTGTCTGTGTGTTGAGTGGGGGATGCATGGGGCCACGCCTCTCCCTTTCCTGGCCCTGGAGGGAAAAGGGCTTTGGGGACTGACAGTTCCACTTGAATCGGGACCAGCTGTGGCCAAGACTGAATAAGATCATGCTGGTAAGAGCTCCGGGTAAATTGCTGCACATGTACTTTTGCATTGGTGGTGGTGGTGGGGGGGGGGCGCTTGGCTCCGCCCTCGGTGGTGGGTCACGAAGGGTGCAGAGCCCAGCTCCCGCTGCGGCTGACCAGGGCATGCGCACGCGCATGTGTGTGTGTGTGTGTGGTGTGTGTGTGTGAACTACACCCCCAGCCCCCAGCAAACCCTGAGCCCAAGCCCAAGCCATGCCAGGACTGGGATCTGGGGTCTTTCAGACACAGCCCTGCTTCGAGGAGCCCCAACTTGGGGAAAGGCAAAGATGGAGAGTCCAGCTGGTGCACCCCCAGGGGAGGGCCTCCAGAGCCTTGCTGGGGGGCCAGTGAAGGAGGGAGACGAGGACCAACTTTGGTCCAATCAAGAGACAGTAGTGACCCTACCCCTTCACCTAAAATAATAAGCCCATCCTCCAATTCTGATTCCCCGGGGAGAGAAATGCCATGGACACCCCTACACGGCGGCTTTCTGAGCACCTGGGCACCACCTTCCCCCAGCTCCCCGTCCAGCCCCTTCTGGTTTGCTGGGGCCCCACTCACATGCTCCCTTCTCCCCAAGTCTTGCCTCCCGTCCTGGTCACTCCAACACCGCTGCGGGGGACCGTTCCCCTGCATTCTCTCTGGTGGTGGCACGTGTGTCCCTGCACACCCAACCCGTTTCCACTGGAGGACAGAGATAGGCCCGGCGCCTCCCCGGCCTCTTCCTCGTGGCCCAGTGAGCCACTGTGCATGTAGCACATGGATGCGTGAAGGAGGGGTGCTCACTGAGAAGTGTGGCCCCCAAACCCAATGGCACCGAGTCCAGGGACCCAAGGAGCTTGGAAGGAACCAGGAAGGGGGAGGGGGCTGTCACCTGCAGCGCCAGAGAGCTCCTTCTCTAAAGACCCAGGACCAGCCTCTCCAGGTCCAACATCCTCCCTTTCTCCCAAGAAAAGAATCCAATGCCTGGACCCAACCTTTCAGGGTGAGTGTGTGCGCACCTGTGTGAGCACACACAGGCTTATACATGGCTTGCACACCTACCTTCTTCCTCCGTGCTTTCTGGCTCCTCCAATAAAGTGCAGTCAATGAGGGATATGACTCCATTCTGAAAAAGAGCAGGGGCCACCTTGAATCAAAGCGAGAGATGTGCTAGTTTCGGAGTTCCAGAATATCAGGGTGAGGAGTGAGCACCCACATAGATGCACATATGTGTGTGGACATTACATGCCAAGTGGGTATTTTGGTTTTCAGGTTGAAGAACTTTATCTCCATATAGGAAGCCCAGGGAAGTGACTCAAATGGGATTTGCTCAGAGACGCCTTCCCCAAAGGAGGGCCAAGGTCGGGCTGGGGGTGGAGGGGCTAGAACCTGGCTTGCACAGCCTTTTCTTGCCCTACAGCGGCTCTGAGGCATCACCTGGTAGCCCTAAGTCTGAAGTTTGAAATCCCTCATTCTAGGCTGAACCCTGCATGTTACCAATAGGGAAACAGGACCAATTCACAGACCTGTCTCAGGTATTGTTATTCCGATTTTACAGATAAAGAAATGAAATCAGGGAGTTCAGTGTCTTGCCCAAGGTCACCTGGTAGGTAAGTGGCAGAGTCTGGAAAGAGCCTCACGGGCCTGTTCCCAGCTCAAGGTCAGTGGCTGGCTTTTAGTTATTAGGAATATCTGGAAAAACGCCTCTTATCCTTGAGTGTCTGAGCATCCTTTAGGTGTGAGATCCCTTGATCCTGTAGTGAGAAATGAAAGCAACCACCACTGTGCTGGCTGTAAAGCATGTCCACGAATTCTTTGCTACCCCGTCCTTCAGAAGGTGAAGGTTACTTCCCTTCCCTTGAGTGTTAACTGGACTTAGTGACTTGCTTCTCATTAAGAGAATAAAGCAGGAGTGATGGTGTTCAGCTTTGGGGTCTGCAGCCTCCTGCTTGCTCTCTTGTTGTTTCTTGGACCACTTGTTCAGGGGGAAGCCAGCTGCCGTGTCATGAGGAGAGGGCTACAGATGAGGGATGAGGCCTCCTGCCAATAGCCATGTGTGGGAGCCACGCTGGAAAAGGATCCCGGCCCCAGTCGAGCCTCAGATGACTGCAGCCCCAGCTGCCACCTTGACTGCAACCTCATCAGAAACCCTGAGCCACATATGTCCACCCAGCTAAGTTGTCCTGACTTCCTAACGTGCAGAAACTGTTTGAGACAACAAATGTTTGTTTTAAGCCACTCCAGGGGACTTCCCTGGTGGTCCAGTGGTTAAGACTCCACACTTCCATTGCAGGGGGCGTGGGTTCAATCCCTGGTCCGGGAACTAAGATCCCACATGCCGTATGTGGTATGGCCAAAAAAAAAAAAAAAAGGCACTCCATTTGGGGGACAGCAACAGATAAATAACATAATAACTGACAAAAACAGAAACCTGGCTAGGTGGCTAATCTATACGTGAAAATGTCTGCAGGGCAGGCTGCCACCTGGGAGGCAGAGGGGGACCTGGAGAAAGTATCAAAAGTGGGGCCCGAATCCTACATTCTGTTTCTAGTTTGGTTCTTTGGTGGCCCTGGGGGAGCCCCCCAGGCCTTGTTGGGCCTTAACCTGACCACTGATGTCACTGGGCTGGGTAATCTCCAAAGCCCATGTAGCTCTAACCTTCTCTTACTTTAAGTCCCCCAAAATTCTTACGGTAGTTTTAGATCTTGGCGAGTTGTAGCAGGTCCCTTTTAGGAGGACTGAAGGCGTTCGATTTCCAATGGCAGTATTTAACATGAAGTGGTTTGAATTTTAGCTCTGGTTTCAGAACACAGACTCTGAAGCCAGACTGCCTGGGTTCAAATCCCTGCTCTGCCACTTGCTGGCTGTTTCTAGAAGCCTCAGTTCCCTTATTTATACAATAGGGAAAGTAACTGCCTCAGTGGGTTGTTCTATGAATTAAATATACATGATGTATTTGGGCTAGTGCCTGGCTCATAGTAATCATCATGCAAAGGCTTGCTATTATTATTATCATTACAAGTTCATACTACATAATTAAGAGTGACAACGACTATTACCTGTTGAGCACTTACTATGTACCAGGCATGGGGCCATGTGTTTTGCAACCACTTCCTCACTTAAGCCTCATAGCACTCCCATGAAGTAGGTATTTTCACTCCCAGTTTTTAAAAAATAAATTTATTTATTTATCTCATTTATTTTATTTTTGGCTATGTTGGGTCTTCGTTGCTGTGCGCGGGCTTTCTCTAGTTGCGGCGAGCGGGGGCTACTCTTCGTTGCGGTGCGCGGGCTTCTCATTGCGGTGGCTTCTCGTGTTGTGGAGCACGGGCTCTAGACACGTGGGCTTCAGTAGTTGTGGCATGCAGGCTCAGGACTTGTGGCTCACGGGCTCTAGAGCGCAGGCTCAGTTGTTGTGGCGCATGGGCTTAGCTGCTCCGTGGCATGTGGGATCTTTCCGGACCAGGGCTCGAACCCATGTCCCCTGCATTGGCAGGCGGATTCTTAAGCACTGCGCCACCAGGGAAGCCGTTCACTCCCATTTTGCAGGTAAGTAAACTGAGGCTTGGTGAGGTCACCCACTGGTAAGTGGCAGGGCTAGAATTTGAGTTGCTCTCAGATTCCATGCTCTTTACCAATGTGCTAAGAGACTTTGAAAACTCAAACAAGCAAATAAACAACCCCCCAAACCAAAATAAGACAAAACTAACAAACATAAAAGCATGTGCTTTCAGACTAAAAAGCCGTCTTGAAGTCTCCAGTTCAACCTGCCCCTACTGACCCCCACCTGCTGGGGGAACCGTCCCCCGAGCCTGGACAGAGATCTTCCCAGGAGAAACTCCAGAGCTAGGAAATAATGAAGGGTTTCCTTGATACATAATTTGGTTGAAACTGGAGTCTTCAGTGTTTGTAAATTAATTTCCCCTTGTGCAGCCGACCAACTAATACGTTGACATGTTAACATAAGCAGTATATTCCCTGAAGCCACTGCTTGATCAATTAGCTCTGCAGGAGGTTACGGTCCAGGCATCCAGGGGCTGGAAGAATGGTTTCCCTGATGCTCTGGCTTAATTAAGGGCACCTTCTGGCCCTTTCCAGGCCACAGCGCATTCAGATTTAAAATCTCCAGAAGCGAGCTTCCACGGGGATGGACGCAGTGCCGGGGAGACTGTCGCTTACAGAGGCAAGGGCTTCCCAGAGCAGATTTACGGGCACCTGCCTGCATCTGTGCACGCCTCTGCTGAGGACAGTCAGCCCTGTTTTGCAGATGAGAAAGTGAGGTGTGAACAGGCGCGGGACGTTTCCAGGGTCACACATATGTAGGAGACAGAGGTGGGACCAGATCGTGAGCTCACAGCAGCGGGATAAGCTGTGTGCTGTGCTGGGGAGCAGGAGATTCTGCCGGGGGTGCAAAGTCTTGTGCTGGCAGAGTGAGTGCCCGAGGGCGTCAAGAGGGGGCGCTGTCTGAGCTCTTTTTTTTTTTTTTTTCTTTCTTTGCGGTACGTGGGCCTCTCACTGTTGTGGCCTCTCCCGTTGCGGAGCACAAGCTCTGGACGCGCAGGCTCAGCGGCCATGGCTCACGGGCCCAGCTGCTCCGCGGCATGTGGGATCTTCCCAGACCGGGGCACGAACCCGTGTCCCCTGCATCGGCAGGCGGACTCTCAACCACTGCGCCACCAGGGAAGCCCTCTGAGCTCTTTTTGGTTGGAAATGAGACAAAGGCTCTGGCTGCTGCTCTGCCCTCAGCCAGGTGCCACCATCCTCCCCGGCCCCTTAGATACATGTACACGGGCCTTTGAAGGTCTTGTCTGGACCCCCTGGCTCCTCTGCCCCAGCCCCCAACTCTGGGGGCTCCTTGGGGGGTCTTCGTGCTCACTTTCCCATTTCCCACGATTTCTCCAGTAGAAAATCCGTCAGTGGCCTTCTCATTCCAAGCCGCCAGTCAGACCAGGGTGCATAAGTGCACACTCATGCGTTTCTGACACCCTGGTCCACCCTGGGCCCCGCGGTCAGGGTTAGTTGGGACCCCTAGGGTAAAGGTGATGTCTGACCTCCAGCCCCAGCAGCTTCACTCCCACTGTCCCTACCTTGGTCAGGTGAAGCTTCCCACCAGAGCCTCTGGTACAGATGATCAGATGCTTAGAAAACAGGAAGCACTGTCGCTCGCCCTCTTTCTTTAGGGACAGAGACCCCAGGCGCCCCCTGGTAATCTTGCCCTTTTCAGACATGGGCACCTGGATGAGGGAGCCTGCGGTTGGAGGAGAGAGAGCCTGAGTGCATCTACTGGAATGACCCTCCGCCTCTGACCTGGCTTTGAGGCTGCAGGTGGGGTTGCGATGCCAGCAGCCAGGGCAGTGGGACAAGGCAATCCTAGTTCTTGGTAGCAAACATGCACCTTGGGCCCTCCCTCCAGCCCCTCCTCAGGGGTGGGTGGTGGGGTTTGGGGGGTGGAGAATGACGAGAGAAGCTCCATGCAGGACCTTTGACCTCCCAGCCAGGGCCAGTGCCTTGGAAAACAAAGGAACCCCAAAGGACATGGCCCATGAGGTGAGAATGCAGGGCTGGGCTGAGGTCTGGGAGTGGAAGGAGGTTGAACAAGCGGCGAGCTGGCTCTGGCCCAGAGGGATTAATAAGATCCACTGGGCACCTGCTGCCACATGCAGCCACCACAGACATGACTGATTGGTCACAGCATGCTCTGCTGCAGAGCCCAGTGCCGCCTCTTCGGGAAGCCCTCCCTGACTCTCCCCAGCCCTGCTCTGGGCCACCATCTGCCTCCTGCCCACTGCACAGAACCCTTTCCTGTATCCTGACTCCCTCTCCCCTGCACAGTCAGTTCTGGAGGGCGGGGCAGAGTCTATTCTCTGGGCGTCCCTGGAGACCTGAGTTGGCCTGGCATGAATAGGGCAGGTGTCCTTGGTGGTGGCAGCACGACTGAATAAATGAGAAAGGGCTTGCTGGGTTCCCCTGTCTGATCTCCAGGTCCAGCCCCACCCCTCAGGAGGGGAAGAACTGCTTTGGCTCAGGGTGATGGAGCAGATTCCTGGTCTTTGGGGACACTGCTGAGCCCAAGATAGGTCATTCTTCCGGCCACCTCCAGCTTGGGCACAGCACAGCTCAGGGGGAGCTGGGAGTCAGGCTAGGCTAGCTCTGGGCTCAGCAGGTTCCAGGGTGGGCCTGTGGGAAGGACACAGGGGCTCAGAACAAACTCCACATTGAGGATACTCAGGCCATGGGCAGCAGGGGCCAGAGGCAGCTGCACAGGCCAGCAGGAAGTGCTGGGAAGCTCTTCATCTAGTCAGAGAACCCCAACTCGATGGAAGGAAGGCGGGAGGTCCATCCTGAGGTGAAGTCACCTCTAGGGCACGCGAACAGAAGCTGAGTTTCCCATAGAACATGGAATCTGAACCTTAAAGGCATCACAGCTCTGACATCCCCGAGTTGGAAGTCAGTCTCCTGGGCCACAGAGAGCCTCTCCTGCCCCTCTCAATAGGGCTGTGACCCTCAAAACTGTCCCCAAGGTCAGCTGAGGCCCAAGGGTGAAGGGAACCCTACCCAGGACCACTGGGACCATGGCCTTCCCCAAGAGGCGAAGGATGCCGAGCAAAGGACAGAGGGACTGACCCACGCCAACTCCATCTCGGACCCTGAAAATGCTTGTGATTCATGGGGCCAATTGGAATCTGTCCTCATCCTCCGCCCCCTACTCTCTCCCCAAAAGGACATGTCAAGGTTTACTATGATGTGCAATAGACAAACCAAGACCATCTGGGAAGAATTATGTTTACATCTGGAGAGAAGGAAACTGTGAAAACCAATAATACCAGCATCGATATCTATAGATACCGACATCTACATGTAGCTGTCGCATTCCCCCCGCAGGCCCGGAATACTCGGCAATCACGCTTGCAGGTTTTGGCACGCAGCAGCCCAACCAACTGGTGGTGTCCTGAGTGCCACGTGCCTCTCGCTGCTGGGGCCAGCCTGGTGGGGGGTGGGAGAGGCAGGGCGCACACGCCATACCTTGTCTCACAAAGGTCTGGCTGGTGTCCAGGAGGATCTCACAGCCTTCAATGATCATGCGCTCAATGGCCAGGTTTTTCCGGATGTTCTCTGTTTCACTTACTTCGTCGTGCATTATCCTGTGGGGACAGGAAATGACAATCAGAGACAGGCTGCCCCCACCTCCCAGGGTGGAGGGAATGCTGGGTCTCTGGCTAGACCTCCGAAGAAAGCCTGGATTCTCAGGTGGAACCTGTTGTCATGAAAGGGGAGAGAGCGCGCATCTCTTGAGTGCCCGCTGTGTGTGTGCACTTTACAGGTGTGATCTCATTTCATCCTCTGACAGCCCAAGGAGGCTGAGAAGCAGGTCTGTCTGATTTTAAAAAGTCTGAACGGGGGACTTCCCTGGTGGTGCAGTGGTTAAGACTCCACGCTCCCAATGCAGGGGGTCCCGGGTTCGATCCCTGGTTGGGAAACTAGATCCCACATGCGTGCTGCAGCTAAGACCCAACCAAATAAATAAATAAATAAAAACTTTAAAAAAATTGCCACGTGATTACCAATAATGATTGTAAAGCTGAAATAAACTTAAAACAAAAAGTCTGGGGCTTCCCTGGTGGCGCAGTGGTTGAGGGTCCGCCTGCCGATGCAGGGGACACGGGTTCGTGCCCCGGTCCGGGAAGATCCCACATGCCGCGGAGCGGCTGGGCCCGTGAGCCATGGCCGCTGAGCCTGCGCGTCCGGAGCCTGTGCTCCGCAACGGGAGAGGCCACAACAGTGAGAGGCCCGCGTACCACAAAAAAAAAAAAAAAAAAGTCTGAACCACATGGAAGAGAAACAGCAGAACTGGAGGAAGATGGGAGTAGAGGGGACATCCTCTGTTCATTACCCTGCCCCTCACCCCACTATTGGCCTTATTTCCATCCAGAGTACAAACCAAGCTCATTCCTGCCTCAGGGCAATTTGTACTTGCTGTTTCTTCCCCCTGCACACTCTTTATAGGGTTGTTTCCTTAATGTTTGGGTTCTGGAATGGCTTATTTTTGGAGCACCTGGCAATCCAGTTGGCTCAGGGCAAGACTGACTTCAGTTTACTTCTAAAGGCTCTGGTGACCGGGGAGTAAGCAGGACACAGCTTGCCCCTTCATCTGAGAATACAGACATCCTTCTGTCCTTGTTCTGACTGCTGCAACACCCCTTGTCTCCAGGAGGTGGCACTGTTTAACTGTTTTTGTTTTTGTTTTTGTTTTAAAGAGCGTTGGTGGGAAAAGGTAGGTGTGAACTGCCAACTTTGCTAAGACCCTGGATGGGTCTCCAGGAGTCTTAGGAAAGTAGTGAATCCTTTTATTTTTTTGGAGGGGGTCTGGAAAAAGTACCCCACCTACTCTAAGGAAAGCACAAAGCCTCCTATTTGTCTGCTGATGCATGAAATTCCACAATTAAGACCACTAAGAGAGCTGATTAATGTGTGTGTGGCTTACAGAGTTCTCTCACAGTCATTATCCAGTTTAAACCCTCCAACAATGAGAGATGACACTGGTTGAGCTGGAGCTGTGATTAGTGGAGTCAACACGATGTTGAACAAATTACTCAACCCTTCTAATCCTTACTTTCCCCATCTGTAGACTGTTGAGGTGAGGATGGAAAATAATGCATTTCATGGGCTGACCTCATGCCTGGCACATGACAGGCGCTGGAATAAAGGGTGGTGATCATTGCCATTATCAGGGCTGCAAAAATGGTATTGTAAGCAAAAAAAAAATAGGTGGTATACTGTAACTCGTTATTTCTTCTGGGTATCAGACTGGGGCATCAAGATGGGGTCTCTCTGCCTTAGAAGCCACGGTTCTCCACCCACATGCCCCTCCTCCCACCCGGGCCCCAGCGATGCTCTTCTCAGAAGCCCAGGCCTGAGCCTTCTTCTGGAAAAGACATGGGACAGGGAGGCACCTTTCAGGGCATCTGCAGTTCCATGGATAGGGATTCATTTTTGGAAGTTGTCCAAGGCAATCAGGACCCTCTCTCTTGATGACGGTGGGGACTTTGCTGAGGCTAGATTTGCTAAAAACTAAGGGGGTGATTCCAAGGTAGCAAAACTAGTTTTGCTGTTAGACATGGCTAAACTTCAGCTGCTCAGGGTCAGTGGCCCCAGGCTGGGATTTGTGCTGGAGGGGCCGCCACTGCACGTGCAGCTGGGGGTGCTGGGCGGGGCTCCAGGAAGGCAGCCCAGGGTTCCAGGGCCTGAGGCTCCTGGGGGAACCGGAAGTGAGGACCTGGGTTATCAGTGAGCCCAGGAGTTAGGGGTTCCGGAGACAAAGTGGGACAAGGGCCAGAGGTAGGAAACAGCCAGTCCTGAGGGGAGAGGGGTGCAGTGTTCTGAGCACTGCCAGGGAGGGCTTGGTTGCTGGCTTCCTGTCAGGGCTGGAGCTTTCCTCAGGGCCCAGGGGAGGGTGCCAGGAGGAAGAAAGGGCTGTTGTCACGTGATAGGAAAACGCTTTTCTGTGCTGCTCGGGCTGGGTTCAGGGCCAGGTGCAGGTGAGCAGGGGGACAAAAGAAAAGCAGGCTGCACACCCAGGACCCGGGGTGGGGGGGGGGAGGAGGGGGTGATTCCAAGGTAGCAAAACTAGTTTTGCTGTTAGACATGGCTAAACTTCAGCTGCTCAGGGTCAGTGGCCCCAGGCTGGGATTTGTGCTGGAGGGGCCGCCACTGCACGTGCAGCTGGGGGTGCTGGGCGGGGCTCCAGGAAGGCAGCCCAGGGTTCCAGGGCCTGAGGCTCCTGGGGGAACCGGAAGTGAGGACCTGGGTTATCAGTGAGCCCAGGAGTTAGGGGTTCCGGAGACAAAGTGGGACAAGGGCCAGAGGTAGGAAACAGCCAGTCCTGAGGGGAGAGGGGTGCAGTGTTCTGAGCACTGCCAGGGAGGGCTTGGTTGCTGGCTTCCTGTCAGGGCTGGAGCTTTCCTCAGGGCCCAGGGGAGGGTGCCAGGAGGAAGAAAGGGCTGTTGTCACGTGATAGGAAAACGCTTTTCTGTGCTGCTCGGGCTGGGTTCAGGGCCAGGTGCAGGTGAGCAGGGGGACAAAAGAAAAGCAGGCTGCACACCCAGGACCCGGGGTGGGGGGGGGAGTGGATTGGGGTGCTGCCTGCACACCTGCCTGCGCTGGGACAGGGCATCCCGCGGTGCCGAGGAACTCACAGCCTCAAGGGGGTCCCAAGTCTTCTGTTTGCGGAAGAGTACACAGGATCTGGCTCCCTGGGGCATGAGAGAACTGCGGTCCGCGCCCTCTGATGGTTTTGTTTGTCTGCAATCACGCCCTGACTACATCTCCTCCCTAATTCTCCGCTCTGGGGCCTGTGCCCTGCCCTGGTCCAGCCTGGTCCTCCCTCTGTCCAGCCGGAGGCCATGGCCTCACCGGCTGCCACTCGTTGGACTTGGGCAGCCTTTTAGGGCTCTGAATGGATGGCAGGGCCCCGGGCAGGGCTGAGGGCTGAACCCCACACCCTGCAGACCCATCCTCCTTTGCAGCTCCTGGCCTCCTATCTCTGACCACAAGGCCCCTCCTTACCTCTTGGCCTGCACCGGTGGAGCCCCCAGGCTCAGCCCTTGGTTCATACCTCATTCCCACCTAAACTCACTCCCTTGGTGATCTCACCAGCCTTGTGACTCTAAATACCATCTCCGAGCTGACGATCTGGTATATCTTGGCTCCCTGAACTCCAGACTCAAACACCGACTCCCTTTTTGTCATTTTCACCTCTGTTGTCCACCTCAGGTCCAACACACCCCCAAGTAAAACTCCAACGCGGCGAGGAAGACTCCCCCCTCCAAACCTGCCCCTCTGGCACCTTCTCCATCTTGCACAACGGCAATGCATCGTTCTGGCTGCTCGGCAGAAAACTCTGGAATCACCCTCGACTCTCATTTTCTCTCTCTCTCCTCACCTCTCATCCATCAGAAACTCTTGGAGGTTCCACCTTCAGAAAACTCCAGAGTCCTCACCTCCACGGCCACCCCCTGGTGTGGCCGTGTCCCCTGTTGCCTGGGCTGTGGCAGTGCCTCCCTCCAGTCTTTTAGCTCCTGCCCGTGCAGCGAGGAATTCCTTGGGCTTTGGGGAGTGAGGAAGGACAGGGGAGGGCCTTGACTAGGGGGGTCTGCAGCCTCTGACGGTGGCCCAACCATGGCCTGTCCCGCCAAGGACACTGCCTGCTGCTGAAAGGAGCCTGAGGCACATGAAAGCCCGACACCCAGGACCCCTGGGGCTCCTAAAGCCACCGGTTTTGACACATGGCCACTGGAGAACCGAGGAAATGGGCAGAGTGCCTGCGAGTCCTGGGCAGATCCCTGACCTGGGAGATGGGCCCACTAAGTGCCCAGGGCCCTTCCTCGGACCCCATCTGTGCCAGGGACAGCGTACCCCCTATCCCACCTCACTGGGTGCCCAGCTGGGCTGGAGCTGTAAACCCCTCAGACTGCTCCTGGGGACCCGGCTTCCAGGTGGGACAAGCTGTGGGTGCCCCCACCTCGGAATCCTAAACAGAGCACGAGCTTTTCCCATCTGGGGCTCGGCAAACCCCGGGTGGGGGCACCCTCAGCCTGGGCCTGCCCACAGGTATGGGACCCCAGCGGGGCTCACCTGGACAGCTCCTCCAGTTTGGACTTGGCGTAGTCCAGGCTGTTGCGCTCCACGTGCTCGTGAGGGGTGTGGGCCAGGAGCTCGTGCAGCGTCAGGATGTACCTGGGGATCTGCAGTGGGGAGAGGCGGGGACAGGGCCAGAGGGCCAGAGAGACGGAGGCAGGGAGAGAGAGACAGCGATGAAGCAAGAGGGAGATGGAGAGACAGAGCAGGGTAGACAGATGGGGGGGCAGGGTGGGCAGAGAAGGGGGCTCTCAACTCCGAGGACCCCCATGAGCGGGGCTGAGGAAGGACACCCACTGCACTTCTGATCCCAGACTCTCTTAACTTGGAGGCTCTTCCAGGGTCTTGTCTGGGACGAGAGCCCAGAGCTTGAGGTCCTGCCCCGCAGAAGGCAGGACCTGGAGATGGACTCAGGACCAGGAGCTGCCCCTCACTTTCCGCACGGCCTCCCCCAGCCAGGGTCGGTGGAGGGTCCTAACCCCGTTCGTTCTCCAGGCCACCGGGGGTTTGCACGGCCGTGGCCCTCGGCACTCCGCGCCCCGGTCCCCAGTCAGCTGCAGCCCTCCCGGCGCATGCGCCCTGGCAGACGGGGCGGGCACACCTGGAACATGGGGTAGGTGAGGAAGGTCTCCAGCGTCCTCTCCTCGCAGTCGGGCTTGGCCTCGTAGTGCTTCAGCAGCTTGTCGAAGTCGCGGTTCTGCTTGCAGTGCGCCAGGATCTGCAGGCTGTACTGGTGGTTGCGGACGAACTCCTGGTAGATGTTGAGCATGGGCAGCAGGATGTCGAAAAGGTCGGCTGGAAGGAGGCGGGACTCAGTGGGCAGCGGGGGCGCCCTCGGCTCCCCCAGCCCCACCCGGGGAGGTCGGGGCGTGGCTCAAAGCCCCATCGGAGTCACCGGAGATGACTCTGGCACCACTGCCTTCTCCTAGGTCAGAGAGGGTGGCCCCAGGCATTGAGACCACAGCAGATTCACAGGTTTTTGAGATAGAGCCCTGTCTAGTCTGACACCTGTGTACCGGAGGTCAGAGAAAGGAGGTATAGAGGGCGCTGAGATGTGCCCCCCGGAACCCCTTCTGGACCCAGGCACTTGTTCCCCAGCTGCCACCAGTGCGGGTGGCTCTCAGCTGGGTTCTCCCTTGCTGGGAACTGCTCTCAGCTGAAGGAAGCTGCCTTGCACAAGCTGGAGCCCAATGACAGGTCCAGGTCGGGGTGTGAAGGCCGGCCCCTGCCTCGACGGGGGATGTCCCTGAAGGGCCACCTCAGTTCCCGAGCTTCCCTGGGGTCGGCTGAGGCCCCTGTTGTAAATGCTTTGTAGTCCACTCCCTGCCAGTGCCCTGGCTCTGCCAGGCTGTTATGCTGCGGGGTCCCCAGGGGCCCCAGAGTGTCCCACCTGTGACTGTGACCTGTCAGAGGTCACGAGGTGAGTCAGGAGCTGGCCTGGAACCAGGCTTTCCAACTCCCTCATTCCAGCGCTTTCCACCCCATGATATGCTTTCCTGGGTCTCTGCCCCTTCACCTGTTGTCCCCTTTGTCCCTCTGTCCCTGTCCTTCCAGACCTCCCCAGCTCTGCAGCCCCTGGCTCAGTGAGGTGGACCCCCTGCTCAATCCCCCGTCTGTCTCAACCTCCTGGGTATCTAACATCCTGTCCTTCTAGCTCCCAAAAGCCCAAACCTGCCTTTCAACACTTGATGGGATGGGATGGACCCTCTAAAACCTCTGCTTACTAACTCCATTAAAAAGAAAGACAATGCAACTAGAAATGATCATACAAAGTGAAGTCAGAAAGAGTAGACAAATACCATATGATATCACTTATATGTGGAATCTAAAACACAACACAAATGAACTTATCTACGAAACAGAAACAGACTCGCAGACATAGAGAACAGAATTCTGGTTGCCAAGGGGGAGGGGAGGTGGGGGAGGGATGAAGGGGAGGTTGGGGTCAGCAGATGTAAGCTTTTGTATATAGAACGGATAAACAACAAGGTCCTACTGTATAGCACAGAGAACTATATTCAGTATCCTATGATAAACCGTAATGGAAAAGAATATTAAAACAAAGAATGTCTATATGTGTATAACTGAGTCACTTTGCTGTACAGCAGAAATTAACACAACATTGTAAATCAACCCTACTTTAATAAAATCAAATTTAAAAAAAAGAAAGACAAGCTTTCCTTGGAACAAACTCTAAGTGGGAGCTCTTAGGTAGGGCATCCAACTATCCAGTGGACAACCTCTTTAGCTGTATGACTACAGAAAGTGCAGCCTTTGTCTTTCTAGGGCTGCTTCTTATTTCGACCTTGGAGAAAAACAAAATGGTGTCACTCCCCCTGGAAGTCTCCTGGCCCGTGGGCAGAGGAGCCTTTTCAGCCTCGGCTGTCCTCTCAGCTCCCTGAGCCTGTTCCCTCGACCCCATAGTGGAAGTGATACCAACACTTACCTTTTCCTATTGAATTAAGTGAAAGGAAGATGGTACACAGTGTGGGAGGGGCGGGATGTGGGACGCACTCCTGTACATCACTCACAGGAGTGAGGGCTTGGAGAGCAATGTGACGATGTGTACACAGCGGGGAGTCCATCCCCATTGTTTCAGTAATTCTACTTCTGGACACCTGTCTCAGGGGAATGCTCTCTAATATCTCTAATGCTCTCAACTTCACATGCAGGGATGATTATTTTTAGTAGCAAAAAGGTAGAACAACTTTAAGAGTCAACGAAGGGAGATGGCTACATAGATGGTGGCAGATTCACGGGACACTGGAACATTATACAGCCATCAAAAAGCATACTTTCAGCTTGAGAAAACACTTATGCAATTATGTTAAGTAAAAAAAAAGAAAAACCCACAGCAAGATTCAAATTCTATATTCAGTATGTTTGCAATTATGTAAAATGGAAAAAAAAAAAAAACAACCCCAAAATCTATGCATAGGAAAAAAAATTGGAAGGAAACACACCGGAGTGTTTACAGTAGTTATCTTTGGGAAGCAGAAATGTTGATATTTTTAAATGTTTCCTACTTTTCTGGATTCTCAGATTTTCTCAAATGGGTACCTATATGAAAAAAAAAAAAAACAACCCCAAAATCTATGCATAGGAAAAAAAATTGGAAGGAAACACACCGGAGTGTTTACAGTAGTTATCTTTGGGAAGCAGAAACGTTGATATTTTTAAATGTTTCCTACTTTTCTGGATTCTCAGATTTTCTCAAATGGGTACCTATATATTATTTTTAAAAGGGAAAAGCAGATAAGAAACTAAAAATATATCACTTCCTCCTAGAAATGTAGCTTTTGCCAACTTCTTTTTCCTCTTCTGCTCCCTCTGAGGGATTCTGTGAGTTTTTAAGGGGCCACTCTGTTACATTCGGGAAGGACAAAAGTGCCACCAGCCAGGAGATGTGGCCCCTGCACAGGGACTTCTCAGGTGGGGATGGGGGCAGAGGGGCAGGAGACCTCTGCCAGGGCTGCTACTCACCGAGGACCAGAGTGGGCCAGCTGGAGATGCGGGCCTTCAGGCCTTGGTAAAAGATCTGGTGCAAAAACATGATGGTCTCGCTGGAAGAGAAAGCACATGGTAAGCTCCCGCCAGGAGTTCCTCTCCTTCCAGGTGTCCCTTCCCCCAAAGTTCAGTAGAGCTGAGGGGCCCCAGGGGAGAGGGCAGGGGCTGTCACTGCCTGTGGGACAATAGCAGCAAACCTTCTCAGGTGAGACCTTACGAGAAGCCCCATCAGTGGGATGGACCCTACAGTCTGTGGGGCCTAATGCAAAACAAACATGCCGGTCCCTTGTTAACAAATGATTAAGAATTTCAGGATGGTGACAGCAGAGCCTCAAATTAAGCACGTTTTTACTAAGCATGCAGTCAAATGCATTCCGGCTGCTGGCTTCCCTGGCCCCCTTAAGTCCCCACTGGCTCTGTCATTGTGTGCTGTCCCCTCTCCCAGGAGTTTGTGCCCTGAAGGCAAACCCCCATCCTGGGGTCTCACACTCTCAGGACAAGGGCAGGGAGTGGAAGGCGCTGGGTGGGCACAGAGATGCCCCTGAGCTGCGAGGCACAGGAAGCCAATGGGGGCCTGGGACCTTATGTTCATGGGGGGCCTGGGAGGCACGGGGCTCCCTGACCCCAGAGGAGTTTGAAATGCCCTGAGCACCCCACTCTGCAGAGAAAACAGGGTGGGTGGGGAGAAAAAGGGTGTGAAAAAGAAAAGAAGGGAGGGGTGCAAGAGAGAAAGGGGTGAGGGAGGTGAGAGGTGGTGGTGGGGAGAGAGAACAGAACACAGCACCTACGGCTGAAGAGCAGAGCCTATAACTCCACCACACCCGCAGGATGTGCAGAAGGGCTGGAACCGGTAGGGCCTTTAACAAGTATCTAAGTAGCAGTAACACTCCCGAGTTCTCATTCCTGAGAGTGGCTCCTCTCATTACCGTGAATTAACTGTCATGTCCCTAAAGTCCCAAAAGAACAGGCCCCCCCAGGTGTGGTGACACCATGATTTCTGGACTAGGGGCCCCACCTGATGGCTGAAGTCATTTGCAGTTTTCAGGTAACAAGTCTGTGACAGATTCACCCTTGACAGGGCTGGTTTCTTCCTGTCTGGCCCCTGAACTAGTTACTGAATAGATAAACATGTACCGTACCAATGTGAAGAAATTTAGTCGTCCACATGGGAAGACCCTTAGAAAAATGCAAAAGAGATCAGTCCAGGGGTGCGTGAAAGTGCACAGAAGGGAAAACGTGGGCCCTGATGTCGGGGAGGGTGGAGGTAGGAGGACTTTCAGGGGTTCCTGGGGAACTGAGAGGCTCTGGATAACCCCGAGCACCGCCACAGCAAGACTCAGGGCCCCATTCCCGGGCAGCTCCCACAGACGGCTGCAGGATGCACTGTGCAGGGTTCACGGCATGGATTTGTAGGGTAGCACGTTAGGAACATCATAAGCTGGGACTAAAAAAAAAAAAACGGAGGATGAAGCCTCCGTTTTTAAAGTACTATAAACTGTGAGGATTTCACTTGTCATCCTACTACTCAGAAACTACCATTGTTACCTATCTGATAAGAAAAAAATGATCTCATTTTGATTCGATTTGCTTTACAAAATCATTGTGAGTGGGTTGGTTGAACGTTTTTCCTTTGTATTGGACATTTGAATTTCTTCTTTTGGGAACTGCCAAGTCATGTCCACTTACTATTTTCACTTTTATTAATTTAAAATAACTCTCCATATTAAGCATATAATCTTAACATATACATTGCAGATATTTTTTTGCTCAGCTATTTGCCCAACTATCTGTGTTTGGTGTTTTTTGAAGTTTTTCCATTTTGCCCTGTGAGATTTTCTTTCTGTTTTTTTTTGCTTCAGGCATCATGTCTTTTCCCACTCTTAGACTGCATGCACACTCACCTACATTTTATTTTACTATTTCATTTTTACACACAAATACTTAACTAGAGTTTACTTTGGTGTAGGATGTGAGTAAAGGATATAAACGTAATCTTTCTTTCAGTTTGGTTAGCCAATTGCCCCATTTTATTTATCAAATACTGCAGCTGCTTTCACTGCTTTGCTAGGATGCCTTTTTTGTTACTAAATTCTCATACATGCCTAAGTCTGTTTCTGAACTTTGTATTTTATTTTGATGAACTATTGGCCTATTCTGGCAATAGTCTCACGCTGTTTTCATTACTTTAAATATATTTATAAGCCTATAATACATTTTAATTAATGTAGGAAATGTTTCTTTCATTGTTTTTTTCAGAACATTATTATCTATTTACATGCATTTTACTCCTTCAGTTGAACATTAAAATCACTCTGCTAGGCTGCACTTCGATTGGAAATATATTGAGTGTATGGCATGTTTTGGCTGAAATGACATCTTTACGACATGGAATCTTGCCATCCAGAGTGCTGGCCCACTTTCTGTTTTTGTACAGCCTGTAAGCTTAGAAGGACTTTTTATAATTTTAAACGGTTGAAAAAAAATCAAAAGAATATTTTACGATAAGTAAAAATTAGATGAAATTCACATTTTAGTGTCCATAAGTCAAGGTTTATTGGAACACAGCAACACCCATTCATTTAGGATTGCCTAAGACCACCTAGTTTTGACAGAGACCCTCTGGCCCACAAGGCCTAAAATATTTACTATCTGACCCTTGATAGAAGTTTGCTGATCCCCAGTCTATGTGAATGTTGTCCCTGAATTGTGCAGCACACAGCCGGGGCAACTATATTCTATGGCCCTGCACACTTATAGTCCAGCAGGGAATCTATGCACAGAAGAAATCATTATTTAAGTGCAATGAATGCTAGAAAAGGGGCAGCATGGGGGCCCTGGAAGCACACAACAAGGGAACATAAGCCAACAGTGACAAGGGGCATGGGGGTGGCCCGGGACATCCAAGGAAAGACATGAAAAAAGAGTAGGAGACAGCTGTCATAAGGAAAATAGGAACGACAGTAGGGTGGGAAGAATTCTAGGGAGAGGAAGTGACTTGTCTGCTTCGGGAAGTGCTCATTTTGCCTGGTTCCCTTCTTGAGCCCAGAAAGGAGTGTGACTTGCCCAAGGCTGGCCCTAGGTACACAGGGCTTGGCCTGTGGAGGGCAGAACCAGGCCTCTTCACTCCAGCCTCACCCTGTGCCTGTCCCTCCTCACTCCCCAGGCCATGCAGACAAGACGAATTGATGGCAGCACACGCCCCCAATGAGCCTCATCATTCTTCTCGACCCAGGACTCCAGGCAACCACTGCCAATCAATCAGAGCGGGCATCAAGATAGGAACCATCTGTCCCCCAGGCGGGATGCCTCTCATCACGGGGCAATGCCTGTGGTTCCCAGCACACGTTGCTGGGCATGGTTTTTATTAAAGGGAAATAGCCCAAGAGTATATGCTCATTGTTTCGGGTAAACAAAACCTAGTGCACATGTTTACTTCAAAGATTCACCCCCCACCGCCCCGCAGCATTCAAGAAGCACACAATTAACCCCCTCCCCAGCTCTGCAGCATCCTCCGTGAATCTGCCAACCTGGAGAGAGGCCTCTCTCTTCTCAAGGACTTCTTTTAAAGAACTCCAGCAAATGAAATCACCAAATTGGCATCAGATGTCTAATGTGGCTGTACATTTCAGCCTAAATGCAAATCCAGGGGAAAGCTATGTGCAGAAATGCCTTCTAGTGAGTGGGCTGGCAGCCTCCGCCCTTGACCTGTGACACATACAGACTCTGTGCTGTGGTCCGAGGCAGGGAGACCTGGAAGGTTCATGTCCCGGATCCGGCCTCCACAGCACCTACACGGTAAGAGAGAAGGCTGGGCTCACATACAATCGAAAGTTCTCGACAGTGCAGGCGTGGGCAGAAGCATGTGCTGAGACCTGGGCTGTGATGAGCAAGCAGAGGGGTAAGGAGGATGGGGGTCGGTGAAGATTCCAGCCCATTATTTAACAGGGCAGCAGGGGGGAAGCACAGGCCTTCACATAAAACAGAACTGGGTTAAAATCACAGCCCACCCGAACCCCGAGCACACCCCGTCACCTCTCTGATCTCTGGTGCCAGCCTCATGGGGCGTCTCTGAGGATTGGAAATTATGTAGGCCAAGTGCTTACAGAGAGCCTGGCACCAAGCAGGCCCCACAAAACACCATCTTAACGTGGTGAGTGTAGTCCAAAACATTCAGTCACGCAAAGTGCTGTGCAGGGTTGCTATACAGTTAATGAAAAAAAAAATTCAGCCGTTCTTTGTGCTCACAAAAAGCACAGAGGTTAAGACAGTGAAGCTTATACTCTTATGGACCCAGTGGATCATATAGTGAGGGGTGAATGATTAGAAGGCAGTCATTTTCTAGCTCTTCCTGCCCCACCCTGGGCCCCGGGGGAAGGAAAGAATTCCGACCTGCTCCCGATTGAGAACAGGGGCCAGGGGGTGGAGAGAAGCTGGTCACATCACATTGGCATCCATTGATAGGATCATTGGTTCTTCTTACTTAATATTGTAAGAAAATACAGTAAAACATATTTGATTAACTTTCAACGTTGAACCAACCTTGCATTCCTAGGATAAATTCCACCTGGTCATGATGTATTATCCTTTTTATATATTTCTGGATTCGATTTTATAATATTTTGCATCTATGATCATGAGCAGTATGGGTCTGTAGTGTTCTTTCCTCATAATGTCTTTTTCTGATTTCGGTATTAGAGTAATGCTGGCCTCACAGAATAAGTTGAGAAGTGCTCCCTCCACATTAGATTTGAATTCAGTTTCTCACAGGGTGCATCATAGTGAAGCTTTCTTGTTGTAATAACGTCTAGCTCTTATGAGCACTTGGGCTATGCTGGGCTCTGTACTTAGATTCTTTACATGAGCTTTCATTTGATTCTCCAACACCTACAAGAGGCAGGTCCCATTCCCTGGTCAGTGTTTCCGAGGACCGCTAGAGTCCATATTCTGGAGGCCTTAACGATTGATCAGGCTGGGGCTATTTTGACCAGGATCAATGAGATTGCTAAGATGGGAAAGAGACAACCTTGGGCACATCAGGGGCTTGGAAGGACACCAGCAAAAGAGGGGACTTTCTTCCCTCCTGTTTATTCTGTTAAAGGCATCTGATCTGATCCATGCAGTGATTAACAGACAAAAATATAAAACCATGTTGTGATTTTCTTCAAACAACTTTCGAACACATTCTGTGAGTGTGGTATGAATACTCTTAACCAAAGATTACAGGTGAAAAGAATTCCATTGAATGCAGTGTAACAAAATTATGCAAAGATTAAATAAATACAAAAGGGCACCTTTATCTCTTAGTGGTTATGATAAACGGTCACCAAAAGTTTGCAACTGTGGCCTAAAATGCAAGGAAAGAAAGCACAAACAACCTAGAACTATTACAATGCTTCCTGAAATATTTCCCAAGTAGGGCCGTGGCCGAGCCTCCAATACAGGCAGTCCCCTGCGGTTATCTCAAGCCTCTCATTTCCATGTGCTCTGGGACCTGCAGCAGCAGCTGCACCCACAAACTTGTTGGAAATGCAATCCCTATGCTCTACTCCAGATCTACATGTTGAGAAGCTCGGGGTGAGGCCCAGCGTTCACGTTTGAGAAGCTGTGACTCCAGCTGAGCTGTCCGGAGTTTATTCAGGAAGAAAGTTCTTCACACTTTTCAGCCAAATTCCAGGTCATTGAGTTTAAAAGACCCAACTGTAGTTTCTGGAGAAAATCTTACCTGATTTCACAAAACAATAATACCTATTTTCTTTGTTTTAATAAAGAAGTCAAAGCATTTATTTACTCTCTAAAAACTGTGTTCGAAATGTATATTAAAAAGCAGCCTTGGGCTTCCCTGGTGGCGCAGTGGTTGAGAGTCCGCCTGCCGATGCAGGGGACACGGGCTCGTGCCCCGGTCCGGGAAGATCCCACGTGCCCCGGTCCGGGAAGATCCCACGTGCCGCAGAGCGTCTGGGCCCGTGAGCCATGGCCGCTGAGCCTGCGCGTCCGGGGCCTGTGCTCCGCAACGGGAGAGGCCACAACAGTGAGAGGCCCGCGTACCGCAA